TTTCCTATTTATTTCGTGTTTAACTCTTCAACTCGTTCATTTTCTCTCTCTTCACCTTTAAACTACTCGACTCTAATTTCAGATCTCTAGCCTTCCCCAGCTGGTCGATGGGTATTCTTGGCGGTCGTTGGGTCTTCTTGAATAGTCCCTTGTCGAGATAGCCACGACCAAGGAATCTTCCAAACTTGCTAAGAATAAATTTTTTAGTATCAAACACCAGCCTAAATCCATGCTCAACAAGAAGAGATCCGGAAACCAAATTCTTGCGGATGTCTGGGACATGCAGAACATCCTTAAGCTTCAACTCCTTTCCAGAAGTGAGCTTCAGCTCCTTTCCAAAAGTGAGCTTCAGCACTACTGTGCCAACTCCATCCACATCAGACGTGGAAGAGTTTCCCATGTGAAGTTTCCGATCCTTAGCAGGAGTGTATTCAGAGAACACCTCCTTATCGGAACACACATGACGAGTGACACCAGTATCGATGTACCACTCCCTTGGATTATCAACCAAATTGGCTTCAAACACCACAACCAACATATCAAAGTCGGTCAATTCACCCGGCACGGGGCCGTGTTCAGCAACAAGTGCACTCGGTTGCCCTTTCTTTGGCCCAACCTTCTTAGGCTTCCTGCAGTCCTTGGCCATATGGTTCGGCTTTCCACAGTTGTGGCAATTTTCAGTAAATTTCCAAACCTTGGCAGGCTGCTTCCCTTTGTTAAGGGAATTCCTCTTGTTGTCTTGCTCCAACAAGCTGGCACGAGCTTCGATCGTCGGGATTTTTCCTGATGAATTACAGTTGTCCTCCTCAATACGAAGACGAACAACCAGGTCTTCAAGACACATCTCCTTTCTCTTGTATTTGAGATAATTCTTGAAGTCCTTCCAGCCTGGCGGCAGGTTCTCAATCACAGCCGCTACTTGGAATGACACGCTCAAAGTCATCCCTTCAGCATGGATATCGTGCAAGATCAACTGAAACTCTTGCACTTGTGACACGACAGTCTTCGTGTCAACCATCTTGAAGTCAAGAAATTTGCCGACGACAAATTTCTTCGCCCCGGCATCCGTGTGTCAGCTAACGGTTCAGGACGTCTCTAAATCTGTAGCACACCAGATTTACGAGCTCCGGCGAACTGGAATGGAGTCGAGAATTGAGCACTTAAAAATAAAAAGAATATCATAAAACAAATAAAAATATCACTTGTTTCTTCTCTTTTGATATTTATATCTGATATTTAGACATAAATCTATCTTTTCTTTCCTTTCTCTTTCTATTTCTTTCCTCTCTTTTTTCTCTTCTTTTTTGGTGTCGTTTCCTCTTCTGGTCGAGTGCCTTTTTATAGGCAAAATGAAAGGAATCAATTGGCCAATTTGGCCAACAAAATGATTAAAAGAATTTTTTTTATTTTCTATTTTATTACAATTGGGGGGCGGTGCATGTGGGGCGGCACCGCCCCTAATAGATCTATTTTCCGACACTTGGTGCTACGGCGGGCAGAGGAGGGTTCCAGGGGACTGCGGCCTTAGTCGTCTAGTATTGGCGGTTGGGGTGGAAGATCGGCGAGCTTCATTCCCTGTGGCCTCTTTCCCTTGGTGTGCGGGACAAGGGGCTGACGGGATTGGGGCGACAGTTGTGTGT